GGGGGAGAAACCGTGTGTTGTCTTTTAGGTTTAGTCTTGCTAAGGATTTTTTATGCCACTCGCAACTACATAATAAGGTCACACAGACTTCAACATCAGTTAAATACCGCCTTGACAGACAGCCCTAATCTTTAAAAAAAAATCCGAAAAAGAGTTAGCAAGAAATGTCAAAAAAACCTTTTTTGTATTGAAAGTATTCGTGGGTTAACAATGCGTACTGCAAAGCTTCCTAAAGGGGCAAAACCACCACGTGCAGCACGGAAATCCTCGGGGAATTTTAGCCAAATTTGCAAGTGGTCCTTAACTTATGTTGAAGTCTGTATAAGCAGAGTTGCGGCTATATTTAGGCATGCCAAATTGAGATTCTAATAACACTCAGAGGATAAAGTAGCCACTCACACCCGAGTAGTCATCAGCCATGTCTAAATCATGAAGGTAACGGCAATATTTGGCTATACAAAATAAAGATTCTTGTACCATTGTGATAAGGAAGAAGAAGCTACGGACACCAGAGCAGTCATCAGTGATGTCTAAAATATGAAGCTTCGCACAGTGCAAGGCTGACAAAAAAAGTTGCGTGTCCCAACAGAGGCATCAGATGGCAAAATGTGAATAGTGAAAAAAGGACACAATGTTGGTCATTTTAAAAAATGGGGCGCTTGGCTCAGATGCAAGTGTGTCAGGCTAAAGGAAACTATTTCAGGACGAAGGTAAGAAATATTTCGAAGTTCGAGGATTGTCAATTTGGATTAAACTTTAGATTCACGACATCAAAAGCTGTGTTCTTAGCATGATGTTACACTGATGAAGAAAGGGAAACTTGCCTGGAACCTGCGTGAAGATGTAGCCGTAAAAGTACATAACGAGAAGCTTGGACTGGGTCCCTTTATCCCAAGAGAACTCGCCCGTCTGTGGACAGCGGTGATAGAGAAAGGGAGATTATATTCTTGCTTCAGATAGTACCAACAAATTGAACTTTATTTCTTTAAAAAATATCCCTCACCCCCTTTCCCTTAATTTAATCTTACCTCACGCCATTTCATCCCATTTCTTTCCTTTCACGTAGATTCACCTCACCTTACCACACTCTCATTTCATCCTCCCTCACCTCACCTCCCATCACCTTACCACACTCTCATTTCATCCTCCCTCACCTCACCTCCCATCACCTTACCACACCCTCATTTCATCCTCCCTCACCTCACCTCCCATCACCTTACCACACTCTCATTTCATCCTCCCTCACTTCATCTCCCATCACCTTACCACACTCTCATTTCATCCTCCCTCACCTCACCTCACCTCCCATCACCCAACCACAACCATTTCCCCCTCGCCTCTGTTTATCTAACCTCACGTTATATCACCTAGACTTATCTCACCTTGCGTCTCTGGCGTTCACTAGCTGACAAGGACATGTGGTTACTTAAGACAGGCATTGCGCTGTTGAGAGCGAAATTCTCGCAGCTAAAGGAATTTGAAAACATCAACAGCAACAAAATCTCAACTTGCTTTATCACAAGTCGTCTGACCACACTTCAACATACTTTATCTCGCCTGTCTACATCTATAATGACGTCAAACAGTATGAAATCTGACCGACGTAGAACAAAAGTCCCCACTCCAATAGCGTAGTGGTATACAAGTGAAATCCTGGAGAAACCCCTTTACCCTATCCGTCATTTTGTACCCCCGGGGTTGTATTCTTCACTTCTTAGAATTCTTCAAGTACGAAGATCTCTTTGAAACTTTCAGTATTTCTTTAAAAAAATCATTTTGACAGACTGCTATGCAAAACGTACGGATCGAATGAACGAGTAAATTTCCTCTTTGGAAAGTGGTTGCACAACAGAGTTCCCCACGTCGTATGGATACGATAGTAAAACACGACGTATTGATAGGGTTAAGTGGTGGCACTGAGTTCCCCACGTTGTATGGATACGATAGCAAAACATGACGTATTGATAGGGTTAAGTGGTGGCACAGAGTTCCCACGTCGTATGGATACGATAGTAAAACACGACGTACAGATAGGGTTAAGTGGTGGCACAGAGTTCCCCACGTCGTATGGATAGGATAGCAAAACACAACGTATTGATAGGGCTAACACAACAAAATCTGCCTGCCCAGTGTTCTGTAGACAGCGACTGGGGGCTCTCGTGGCCTAGACGTTAACGTGGTCGCCTCTCTTTCAAAGATCCCAGGTTCGAATCCGGGTAGCGACCGACAGATTTTCTTCTCTAAATGTGTCTCCTTTCACCTTCTTTCCTGCTCTCTAGCAATGTTCTGTCGTCTGCTTTCGTCTCCTTTTTCTTCCCCACCCCCTCACCTCCTTTGCCCCCTCCCCCTCTGGGCTCCTGACTCTTTCTGTAGCCTTTCTACTGCTACTCCTTGGTTCCTTCTTACTGCTGTCTTTCTTCCACACATCTGATCTTCTAGTAGGAAAGATCTACACCTAGCCTTCTCGGACAACGGGGAAAAATCTCGGAGGGTCCATGTGCAAGTTACGCACGTTAAAGATCCCTTGGTGGTCTAAAATCGACAAGAGTAGGCTTCGGCGGCGACCCGGGCAAAATTCAAAATTTCCTACTATCTGAAAAAGTTTAACGTGTCCAGCGCACCGTAAAACACTTTCAAAAACAAAACAAAAACAACAACAACAAAAAGACAGCGACTTACGTCTTCACGTAAACGGTCGGCCGTCAGCGCCTGGTCAGACCCGCCACAACTGTCGTCTGTGTGTGACGTCACGTTTGTCACGTTGCTGAGAGAGCCGTTGACCACTGTGACGTCACTACGTACCATACAGATGATGGCGACCGACAGGTTGACCCGCACCACGTACACAAACAAGGTCCCCAGGAACGCCATCAGGGTCAGGGTGAGGCGTTGAGAGCAGACCAAGGGCGCTGCGGACAAAGACAACACGGTGGTAAAATGGTCGCTTTTAAGCACAAGGGGGCTGTCCCGAGAACAATGAAATTCTGTTTTGAGAAAATCGAAGGTTAAGTTTTTGCCCCTTTGTTCAGTTTCTTTAAAAGCCGATGAGGTGTTTTCTCTATAACCAGACAAATATACATAACATTGAAACCAAACTTCTCCTACAGAGTTTCTGGCGCTTTGCTTCACTCATCAATCATCGTTATAGAATGAGACAGTGGCCGTTTGAGAGAGGGTTTATCTAACTGTTGAATTGCTGTGCCCCAGTGACGGATTGGTTTGAAAGAGGCTTAAGACCCCACTCTCTATGTTTGGCCTACCAGATCCCAGACCTCGCCGGGTGTGATTTTTTTCTTCTTGTATGGGGATATGTAAAAGATGGCCTTAAGCATCGAATAATGGCAGAGATCAATTCTGTGGGCGGTGATATTACGCTGAAATGCATCTGGGATGAAATATAATTCATCGACCTGACGTTGCCCGTTCTACAAGTGGTGGCCACACTGAACACTAGTTGTAAGACAGGGAATAAAAATTGATTGGGATTACAATACATGTGACTTAGTTAGAGGGAGTTTTTCTCTTGTTTACTTAATAAGATATTGCGTAAAGAAATCGATTCATTCTTTTTGAATCCCCGTGTATTATGTACGTAAAACGACAAGATCTGTGAGTGGGGCGAACGTTGCAGAATAAAAACAACACAGTCTGTTCTTTAAGTAGCGCCGATACACATAGGTGCAACAACATTATGTACAGAATAACATTACCAAAACATGTAAATGTGAGGCAGCGTGGTGGAATCAGGCTCTCGTCAATTTTTGGGCATGTAGAGTTATTGGTATCATCTTAAAGCTTGTTCATTTGTCTTTATTTCGATGAAAACAATATTAATTAATCTTGAATACAGGTCAAGATATTTTTGAAAGAAAGAGGTGGGGGTCACTTGTTTTCAGAGGTAAAATTGTGAGAAAATGGCCGCCAAAGATTAGTCATTTCCTTAGCTTAAGAGTCCGCAATAACTGAAAGTTTACATTTTTTGGAGCCTTTAATCAACGCTTTTCAGAAAAATCCCACAGAAATGAGTTCTTTAATGGAAGTGAAAGGTGTTGAGCTAAAAAAAACAAAAATTTGATAAAAATTCACAAACCTGCGGAAAAATGCAAGTTTCTTCCCTTTGATTATTTTGACGAGAGCCTGATTCCACCGCGTTGTGACACAAATGCAGTTTCATTTCAGGCAAATAAGCTAGATCTCACAATACAGAAGACATAAATGAAGATTTAGGGTGACAAAACATGCAACTAATTACCTGGCCGAATGTACAAAGGATCAAATCCGCATGAACTCCTCATTGTAACTTGTATGGTACCTCAAATCTTGATTTTAAACCTCTCTCAGACGAAGCAGTTTGAATGAATGTCCACGGAAAATTTACATTGTCAAGCTATCACGTACATTAATTAGTCTTATTATGTTTCAGCACGTTGGTTTATTTTCAGTATGTGTTTGTGTGTGTGTGTGGGGGGGGGG